CTCCTTGGATACTACTAAGAGAAAACAAATGGTGGTAACTGTGATTTGTCCTTAAATCAACAAAGTAACCAGCAGCCACACAGCAATGCATCTTTCAGAAAGCCTGCTGAACTCCGTCTCACTCAGTCGTCTTCTGGGAATTGCCCTAACCAGGAAAAAGCAGAACAATACCTATATGGGAGTGGTAACAAAAGAATTGGTGCCTGAACCATTTTTATATTCGATTATTTCACTTGATGGAAGTGGTAATACCACAAAGTCTTTGGCTTTCTCAATATGAAGCCATATTTCAAGGAACAGTTCTGTGGAGAAGAGATGGGCTCCTCCTCTTAAAGAAGGTTGTAGAATATGAAATAGGCTTCTTAAAACACTAGCTTGGAAAGGACAATAATTCTGTTAAGAGGGCATTCAAAATGTGTTGGGTTTTTTTAGTTGGTTGGTCATTTCTTTAATCAACCAGATAAATACCCCAACATTGTTGTCAGTTGTGGAGAAATTAGCTAAAAACAAGGAGGGATGTTTAGGTTAAAACAGTCATTAAAAAAAAGGCCTGAATCACAGCCATGGAACTGAAGGTCAGAAGACCTTAGAGGAAAACTATTTAATGGGAAGATCCAAAACACTGACTACTTGTATTTCATTCCGAAACTTTAAAATTTGTTTTCTATTTTTATAAACAAAACAATTCAAAAATCTTTTGATCTAGGCAGTTACCAAATTCATTATTTGTAGGGATATGAACTGTCCCTATTTAATTTCATTTTACTCTGTGGATCAACATACTAAGCAAAATGGATTTTCAGGTTCATCATTTTCATTAATTTCCAAGTTGACTACAGCTTGCTTAAAACACTACATTATTATTATTTTTAATTGAAAGAAAACTAATAAGAAAAATATTAATCTGAAATACTTATTTTAATCTAAGATATGAAATTAATTTTTCCAACTTGTTTACACATTTACAGTTACAAGAGGATGGATTAGATCTTCCCTTAATAGTTTCTGCTGCTGGGAGTCAAATTATATGTACTTGATTTGTTTTCAGAATAACACTTGCATTTTTAAATCTGTCCCTAAAGAAGTTATTAAAATAAAATGTAAGGGTCAAACACTTCTAAAATTAGAGAGGTGGGAAAATATGGTGTCCCACTGTAGCAGTGTCTGCACTACAGAGCAAACAGCAAGTCACCTTCCTTGTCACGGTATCAGTGGACGAATATTACCCGCAGGTTGCAGGCTAATGATAAACTTTCTATTTTATTGCCCTCTCATGCATCAAGTCAGAAGTATTTCAGAGCAGTTTTATCCCCAAAAAATGGACATATGAACTGAGAAAGCAAGAACTATTTGATACAGCTCCACCTGTTTTGTACCAGGCAACTTCATGCTGTTTTGCAGGAAAATGAGCACAAAAACAAAGGACAGAGGAGCACGAGCAGAACTAGGCCGCAGTTGGACAATTATCACCTGTCAGCATGGCATCCCTTTGGATAGCCTCCTCACAGCTGTGAGCACCACTGCAGCCTCTCTAGACACTTATTTTAGAAGCTCTCGATCTCTCTTTTCTGGTGAGCAGCAGAGAGATGAAATGGGCATTGCCATTGGCACAATCCCATAACCACACCCAGGAGAGAATGCACAGTAGAGTGGGAAGCTGTGAAATCCAGATCTGGCTTCTAGAGGAAAAGGAGAACAACCACAACAACCTTATGAAGATGCAAAAGACATGATGAATATTCTTAAGTATATGGGACTTAAATCCTAAAGGACTCTTTATCCTTGCATTGGCCTAACCTGGGAGAAGGACAGGGCTGACCTCTGGTTCCCACTCGACTGAGGCAGTGCCCCTGTTTCCAGACATGCAGGAATGCATTACAGTGGCCTCTCAGGAGACTTCAGCTGGGGATTTCCCATGGCACTGCTGTCACACTCCAGGAGCACTGCCCATCACCTCAGCATCAGCCATGACTGCAGTGAAGCTGGTGATCCTGACTCAGAGTGACAGCTCTTTCACAGCTCTTACTAACCCAAGACATGGCTCAGCGCAATCTATACCTCAGTTGTGTTAAGAAAACATTTCAGCAGGGAAAAGCACTGCTCCATGGCTCCATTATAGGACCTACATTGAACCAGCACTTCAGGCCATCCTTCTGACCAGTAAAGGAAACCATGAGTGGCCCTGAATGCAAAGGCAGACATAAAGGAAAAGCCTGGACTTGGCATTGCTCCATTTCCACTTGACCAACAAGCTACAGACCAACTCATCTTTGCTCTTACACTTCAAACAATTTTATTTGGTTTCTGGGATGAAATGCAAGCAGCTTCAGGGTGTTTCTAGCTCAGTTCATTTTTCTTGTCGTTTTCCTGGGCAGAAGACAGCAGCTGAGGTGTGCACACAGATGTATTTGTTTGAAGGAGCAGAAGCAAAAATGCTTCTGGCCTCCTGTTGCTGCACTGGATCAGGGGAGCATTAGTACCACCTCACAGTCAATCATGTGCTTCCCTTGTGTTTTGATTTCTTCTTCCAATGACTAACATCACAAAAAGATTACAAAGCTCTGCCAGTAGAAGTACAGTGCTTCATCTCAACAGCGATGCTCTGCACTCACTGCAGATGGATCTCTTTGCAAAGGCATGCTCAGGATGTCTCATCTGGCTTCTCACATACATGACTACCTCATCAGATGCCTGTTTCTTCCAAGCCTGTCTATATAAACACCAGGATCATGCAAAATTATTACCTCCAGTTTAAAAGTAGCATCAAGACATTTTGTGACATCAAATAAATAGATTGGTCTTCCCAGCCTACTTCAAAATCCCTGTTACACTGATCCTCTGAGTTCAGAAAAATATTTGACATTTGACTAACTCCTTCATACAGTAAAGACTTGATTCTATGAAAGGAGTGTGTTTACAATAGCTTTGTTCTTGCAAATGTCACTGAAGAATCATTAGTAGCACAGCAGCAAAACACCTGGTGCCTGCCACAGCACTCTTTTAGCAAGTGGGAAGCAGAGCAATAGGAAATTATTTGATTATATTCTCAGTAACTAGTTTGGTAAAAACTTGCACTAGCCTTCCAGAGGAAATTCTCAAATAGAGAGGCACAGCATTTTAGCTATATTATTCCTATAGCTGGGATGTGAGACTGACTAGTTTAGAAATCTTCAAGAATAACTGCAGAAATTAAAAATCCCACCCAGAACACACCCCCATATCTGACAGGTTGACACATGTGTTTGGTTTGTGTGGAAAGGTTTTTATAGCAGGGAGGGGGCTACAGAGGTTGCTTCCATGAAAAGCTGCAAGAAGCTGTCCAGGAAAGCAAACAGCAGCCAGCTCTGTGATGGACCCACTGCTGGCCCAGGTCACACCCATCAGTGACAGTGGTAGCACCTCTGAGATAACTGATTCATGAAGTGAGGGAAGAAACAAATTGACAGCTTCAGCCAGAGAGGAGTGAGAATATGTGAGAGAAACAGCTCTGCAGACACCAAGGTCAGTGAAAAGGAGGGGAGGAGTGTCCCAGGAGCTGGAGCAGAGATCCCCCTGCAGCCCACAGTGAAGGCCATGGTGAGGCAGGCTGACCCCTTGACCCACGGCAGGACAGGTGAAGGTGAGTCCACAGGAGACCCATATTGGAAGAGTCTGTTCCTGAAGTCTTCATCCTATGAAAAGATCCACACTGGGGCAATTCATGAAGAACTGTGGAAATGACATTGGAAAAGTGTGTGGAGAGCTGTCTCCTGTGGGAGGGGCACCATGCTGGAGCAGGGAAAAGGTGTGAGGAGTCTTCCCTTGAGGAGGAAGAAGAGGCAGAGACAACATGTGATGAACTGACCACAGCCCCCATGTCCTGTCCCACTCTGCTGCTGGGATGCAGAAAAAAGAGAAAATTGTGAGCAAAGTTGAGCCCAGAAAGAAAGGAGGGGTGGGAGAAAGGTATTTTAAGATTTAGTTCTTATTACTCTATTCTTATTTGATAGAGTAGGGTATAAAGGGATAAAGTACAGTAGAGTATTGATAGGTAATAAATTCAATTAATTTCCCCAGCTGAGCATGATTTTCCCATGATGGTAATTGCTGAGTGATCTCCCCCTGCCTTTATTTCGACCCACAGACCTTTCATTATATTTTCTGCCCTGTCCAGCTGAGGAGGGGAGTGACCGAGTGGCCTCGATGGATACCTGGCATCTAGCCAGGGTCAGCCCACCACAATGAGGAAAACTTAGTGGTTATTCAGCATGTTTTTGCTTCCCAGAGTCTTGGGATGACAGAAACATAAGAGGGGAAAGACAAAAACTTGGCAAGTTTAAAACTTTGTTGAATTTGTAACTTGACCATCCTGTCTATGTCTCAGCTTTGGGCAGTAGTGGGGACTGCTGCTCCAGACCTGAAGCACACATCTCCTCACCACAGCACTTTGCTACCACACTGCACCTGATCTGCTCAGCACCTTTCAAACAGATGAGTGCTATGTAAGGGCAAACCTGCTAAGGACAAAGTAACAGACTGCAGATGTCTCACTCACTGCAAAGAGGCTGAAGAGTGGCACAGAGGAGTTTGTCATCTGTTGCTGCTCCCTGACTCCAGTTTGCAAGCAGAATGAGCACCCCTCAAGGCTCAACAGCCAGCTGTTACAGACCAGCTCAGCCTGAGTGCTCCATCCTCAGAGACAGCGCAGAAATCAGTGCCTACGAATCAATAGATTTTTAGAACAGCTCCATGTGTCATGTCAAATCTCTAATTCTTTTCATCTTTCATAGTATCTCCACTACTGAAGTCTCCACACCCATCATGATCACTTTAATACTCAGCTGCTTTTAGCAAACTGGCTTTGGAGTCACTGCATGGCTTTTGAGAACATTTAAACCTGCAAAGTGAGAACAGCAAAGCACACTATAAATTCTTCATCATCTCTGAGAGGGAGCAGTTCTAGACAATATCCCCTTCAACTCCTGGCTCAAAATCATTGAAACATTAAATCAATTGCTTACCTTTTGATCCAGACTGTAGGCCAAGATCCACTCCTCCTGCTTGGGGTGGAAGAGCAAGCTCTGGATATAGAAGTTCAAACGGTACTTCTGATAGGTAGCTCCTTCATCAGAGCTGATGAGGATGCTGCTCTCAATCTCTGGATCACTAAGAAGCATGATCTAAATAGAAAAATGGAGGGAAAGTGTTAATGGAAAAGTGAAAGTGAACATCATTTAAGAGTGAGGTCACACAGCACTGACTCCTATCAGATGTATTCAGAACATCACTTAAGAGTATAACATCCCATAGAGTTAGGATGGGTTTTTATTATTTCCGTTTCATTTCCTTTGGCAACTCATTTGCTGATTTGAGAGATTCTTTTTTTTTTTTTTCATTTTATCCAGATAAATTCAGAAAGACCAGTAAGAAAGAAAAATTTTATGTATCAACGTTGATTTTGCTTGGATATAGGAACTTCAGGCAGCCACACCAGGCTTTCCTGGACCATATCTGTCCACCACTTCTCTCACCCCATGTGGAATTCTCTCTCCAAAAGTAAGCAACAGAGCATTCCTGAGATTTAAGGCTCATTACCTGGCAGCTTGAGTGCCATAAATGAGAGCATCACCTCCTTGGAAACACAGAATGCCTTCCTGGATCAGCTGCTGGCAGCTGGGTATAGTTCACATGCACATGGGCAAACACTGACACCATTTCATATATCACACTCCCAATTTGTACAGTAAGAGACATTCATTCAGCCAGTGAAAACATAATTTTCCCCAAGCACAGGAAAGTGCATGACCTCAATTTTTACAGGGAGGAAAACACTTCTGAGCCTCTAATTTTAATTAGAAAATTATTACCAATATTTTAAAATGGGTTGATTCCACACTATCAGATGGCAAGCTCTACATAAACGTTAGCAGGAAAAATGTTGTGGAAACATTAATACCATCTTATTAACATCTGGAGAAAACGACTTCACATTAAAGCAAATACCAGTACCATAAAATAAAGGCAAACAGTGGGAAATAAATTAGAGCTGTTCTAAACACAGCAGGTTGTTGATACAGCAGCTGAATCAAATATAGAAACTGTCTTTCAGCAGGAAAACAGATCTAGGAATGGCCTTTTCTAGCTCACTGCAGAATGATCAGCTAGCTGAGATCCACTGCAACTTTGGGTTTTGTCCACATTGACTTCTCTTATTCAGCTTCACAGAGCTCCAACTTCAAGACTACAATATGGAAATACATTAATTTTGACAGCAAAAATCAGTTTCAAGGAATGGTAAAACCCTTGGTATGTTAGGCCTTCATCAGGCAAAAAATTTCAGTGCTTGTTTAATCTTAAGTACCTCATTAACTCCATGAAGCCACCAAGGGAAAGGGAATATAACGTAAATGGCTTCTGATCCTTTCCATTAAGGAATGAAAAGCTGAACTAGAAGTGAACATTTTTCCAGAGTGAAGCCAACTGTATGAATCCAGCTTGATGTCAAAGCACCTTCAACATCACTCACATCCACCACTTACCAGCCCCAAAATCAATCCCTAGCCATTCCCACAGGAAGCCACAGTATAAATCCTGAAGAAGTGCGCTTGCATTGTGCTCTGGTGCCCGGTCTGGGGAACAAGAAGCATTCCCCATGTGCAAATGATTTCCTGGGAATTAGCCTGAGCAGAGACCTCCAAGATCTCCACTCTAAAAGATGCTTTGGTACATTTATTCTTTCTAATCTGATCAAAATATCAATTTCATTATGCTCCAAACAATTTCACATATTTGAAGATATTCTTTTCTGTCACTTTTGAATTAGATTGCAAAGACATTTTGTACCCCTGTTCACCTAAAGCATGTTGCCTATGCCAGAGAACTATAACAGAGTTTAGTAAAAATCACTTGCTTATATGGAATGGAAAAAGGATGTAAGCCTGGCCATTTAAGATGACAATCCAGAAAGATCTTATATTTAAAATAAAGGATACTTCAGGAACAAAAATATTTTCCACCTGATGTACTAGAGGACTACATAATTAGTAATGCTATATATTAAAAGGTTACTGCTGGAGTTCTGTCCTCAATGAAGGAGCACAAGACAGCTAACAGTGGCATGGACCTGCAGTGGCACACACACAAAACATTCTTTCTGCCCTGTCACACATGATCTGCAGCACTTCAGTGGATAGTGCAAGAAACGGTCATATGAGACAACAAAGGCAGTATTTCCACCAGATAGTTGACAAATCTGGCCAATTTGTTCTTCTGGATGTGTAACAGTGTTAGAAGATCAGATAATAAAACCACCAAGCTAGGAAAGGTGGAAGAACCTAACAACAGTCACATCTAGAGATGACATCACATAAATCATGCCCTGGGCCTTCACCCAGTTTCCACATCCACTCTTCATTTTTCAAATGGAGAAACAAACACTCAACATCTCTGCTGTCATCCATCCTCCCAGGAAAGGCTGGTCCTACACAGAGCAGGATGGAAAGGCAGGAGGCTCAATCAGAGTGAAAAAAAAGCTCACCACCAGCCACACAGCTTGGACTGGTACACGTCTGTTACATGGCACACAGAGAAAGAAAAGTGACAGACTCTGTGCTTTTCTTTTTTTAACATTTCTACTTTTTCTTCTGGAAGCTATAGGGAGAGACAACTTTCAGCCTGAAACTACCACTTCTCATTATGAGATCAGGAGAAAGCATCTACCCCACTAGTGATTTAGATTAATCACTTTTCATTAAAAGACAATAAACAAACTCCAGTCAGAATGAGCATTTCTGCCAGCATCTTGTGTTGCCATTTATAATTGCCATAAGGAATAGCAAAGGAGAACCAGAGAGTTGTCAAATGTAATTTATAAGGGTTTAAGATCTAATCATTTTCTATAATATTAAATTAAATGGCAGCCCTTATTTAAATGAAAATTACATTTGGTCTTTCTACATTCTAGATTATTTATATATACACCCATGTATAAAATGTTGCTTTTTTCTCTAATTTAAGTGAAGAGGGGAAGGGCAGGCAGGACTGGTTACTGCCAAGGGTAAATCCTTGAAAACATACTTTTCCTGACCTTCAGATTCCAGTGAACAATGAATGACAAGCACCAGACCAAACCAAACAGGCTGATAATCACACTAAATTTCAGAGAGTTCCTTAGGAATGGATGCAGAGGAAGAGAGCTGTCTGGGACATTGTGCATCTCCTTTAAAGCAGGAGCTTTGGGGACAGTGAGGACACAGACAGAGCTGTTCTGAATGAATTCCAGGTGGGCAGAACACCAGACACCAGTGAGGCACCACATGGAAAGATGATGGTAGGGAGAGGCCACCTTGCAAGATTACCTACAATATATGGACTGAGATCTTCAGTACATAAGCAGTAAACGTACCCAGCTCTGAACACTTCAAGGGGATTGACCCCAGGGAATAAACAGCACAAGCTGCAGGCAGAAGAACAAGGAGGGTCATACCTGTGCCTGCCATAATGTGTTTGGTGTACAAACCACAGCAGTAGTTCAGAGTCACTCAGATTTGTTGGAGAGTGTGTAAGACCCTTAAAGGAGCTCAAATGCAGAAGGAGGTAGGAAGGAAAGTGGCACCATATTGCAGAACAAATCCATTAAAAATTCGTGCCATCTGATGGGGCTAATATAATAAAAACTAGGGTAGGATTTGTAACTGAGAATGTGAGTTTCTGCTAGCCAGGTCAAAATTCCAGGTATGTTACTGGGTTAATGTACACACCTTCCATGGTATTGCTTTCACATGGGTTATGGGGAGGTGGATGAGTTAAGATGGTGCCACATTCCTCTTTTTCTGTGCCAGGGTTGTCAGGCACTAAGAGAGCTGTGATGTGGAATACTGAACTGTACAGTAATGGGGCAGCACACCTCTCAGAGGCACAATGCTACAACATGCCCAGACAGGCATGGAGATACACATGAGCACAGAAATCACAATGGAATGTGTTTTGCACGCAGCTGATTTAGTTAATAAACAGCCACTGGACTAAAAAAAAAACCCAAAACAATATGCCACAGAAATGGCATTTTTATTAATATTAGCTTTCAATGAAGCCTTTTATTTTTCTCAACGAACATAAATTTTCACTGTAAATTACCAAAGCGCATCTCCCTAAATCAGCACAGACCAGTTTTATAGGTGCAATAATCTGTAGCAATAGCACCACTGAGCTACATTAGCAAAGAAACACCAGAGAGTTGTCGAATGAATAAAGAAGACAGGTTCAAATAAATGTCTTTTGTTCTGAGAAATAGATAGACAGCATTAAACTGATGTGTACTGCCCTGATTCTCCACTTTAATGTACTTTTCATATGCTGTTTTTTTCAGAGGTCCTTGTCACATTCACCTATGTAAAAGGCTATTCTAAAAAAACATAAACAAAGCAGTTAAAAAAATAAACAAAACCAACAAGACACCTACAAATCATGCAAGTCTCCACAGCTTCAAAAGAAACCCAGTTCCTTAGCAAAGTATTAGAATTTACTCTGTAGCACTGGATTATCCTCTCCTACAACTGAAAAGGCAGTCTTGCCATAAACATTTCTGCAAATACAGAAAGTTGACTTTTAGTGTTTACAGGTTCATGAGGATTTCCATATTGAATGTGCTCAGCTTAAAAGTGAAAAGGGTTTTTTCTGGTTTTTTAGGCCTCCTTCCACTAGGCCCTCAACTCAGAAACACTTTCTATCCATCCTGAAGCCTGGCCACTTCAACATCATCAATGAACAAAAAAATCAGATTTTAAAAAGGAAAAATGTTTCATTTGATTTAAAACATCTCATGGGTTGTATTGTCCCATGTCTCCTTCCCAAAAAGCTTCACAGTAGCTTTGAGTTTAAAAAGCCAAAACGTCTCAACAATTTATACTGAAAGGCCAGTTCAAGTGGAGGATTTTTGCTTTGATGTCCTTTCCCCCTTTCAAAATTGAGAAATCAAAATTCAATGACATTCAAAGGCTTAAAGATGCAAAAATTGTTTTCTTCCTTCAAAACACCAGTGCATCACAAGTTAAATATGAACAGTTTGGAACTCTCTTACGGGAAAAGTAATTTTCCACATTGAAGCATTTTAGATTACATGTTTGACCATCTGAAATTTCTCACTGGTTATTCATTCCTCCCTCAGTCTTTCTCTCTCCAA